CCAGACGTTCCGGAACCTCTGCCCAGGAGCCAGCCCTCAACCCGTCAGGATTCTTCCCCTGCATCTCCTCTCTCTCTCCTAAATAGAAGCCCCCTAGAAAGGCACCTCGAATCAGCCAGGTTTTTTATGAGGAAGGGCTTAGCCGCGTCCACCCTCAAAACATATGATTTCGCTTGGAGAACGTTCGCGATGTTTTGCTTTTCCGTAAGCATCACACTTAAACCTGTTCTCATCTCCAACGTGTGTGCCTTCATGTGCTACTGCGCCACTGATCGCCACCTCAAACCCCAATACATCCGGGGCCTCTTAGCAGGAGTGCAGTTTAACGTTCGCTGTTCCGATCCCGGCTTTCCCAGCCTGTTCGCAAACCAGTCAGTCAAACTCATCCTCAAAGGTCTCATTAAAACTTTTCCCCCCGTCTTAGACCGGAGACGCCCCTATTACACTCTCCACTTTACGCCTCATGCTCTCCAAACTTAGAAGTGGGTTATTCTCCCCTTATATCGATGCGCTACTCGATGCTCTATTTCTCCTAGCTTTTTATGCCTTTCTCAGACCAGGTGAATTTACCACAGCTTCCCTTACATTCGATTCCAATCGAGACGTCAGCTTTTCTGACATATCCTTTCACGCTAGCCACTTTAGCTTATATCTTAAACACTCCAAATGCGGCGGCGTCTGCTCCGTCATCGCCGCCCGCATCGACTCCCAGTTCTGCCCTTATAAATCCATGATCAAATTCCTACAGCTTAGACCTACCTCTAATCCTCTCTCACCATTATTCCTTATCTCAGGGAATTTTCCTTTAACTCAACGACAGTTCAATATCTATTTAAAACAAGTCCTCATTAAATCCGGGTTATCACCCCTTCTATACACGGGGCATTCCTTTAGAATAGGCGCAGCTATTTCCGCTGCTAATCAAGGTATCTCATCCTCATCCCTGCAACAACTCGGACGGTGGTCCTCCTCCGCTTTCTCATCCTACATTCGCCCTGACCTCAATGCCGTGCTGGCTATCCAAAGGTCTCTCCAACCTTAAAATTGGTACGTATGCATATAACTGGTGGTGGTTCCTAGCATGTCAGCACGTATGTCGCCCCGCGGCTCATGTTTATTCCTGCATATCTAACCCCGTATTTGCCCAGGTTGTAAAACCTTCGGGTCTGTATAAATGTGTCCCTGCTAAGGCAGGTTGCCCCGCACGTTCGGGAAGCCCTGCACGTTCCGGGCGCCCTGCACGTTCCGGGCGCCCCGCACGTCGGGTCGCCCGGTGCGTCCGGGATGCCCCGTTCGCCCGGGATGCCCCGTACGTCCGGGACGCCCTGTATGTCCAGGATGCCCTGTATGCCCAGGATGCCCCGTACGTCCGGGACGCCCTGTACGTCCTGGACGCCCTGTATGCCCCGTATGTCCGGGATGCCCCGTATGTCCGGGACGCCCCGTACGTCCGAGAAGCCCCGTATGTCTGGGTCGTTAACCTCCGGTCCGTATAATGTGTCCCTGCTAAAGTCAGGTTGCCCCGCACGTTCGGGAAGCCCTGCACGTTCCGGGTGCCCCGCACGTCGGGTCGCTCGGTGCGTCCGGGATGCCCCGTACGTCCAGGATGCCCCGTACATCCGGGACGCCCCGTACGTCCGGGATGCCCCGTACGTCCGGGAAGCCCCGTACGTCCGGGAAGCCCTGTATGTCGAGGAAGGATGCCCGGGAGGCATCAGATGTTTAAATTCTCACATGTATTAACCTCTCATTTCCATCCATAGATTTCCACTGCATCCCACAAGGTAAGATTCTTCACGTTCAGTACTTCATACTTCATTCTTTTGGGGGTTCATCGGAAACGGTTCTTCCCTTCCCGATTGATATCCTACAAAACCTGGGCCTAATCGCCAAAACACCATTTCATTCACTTGTTATAAACTGTCATCATTATGTTTCATGTATATAATGTGACCGATAATAAATATGTATTCCATACATCACGTCTCTCCTGATTGAAATGAAGCTTAGCGCAAGTTCAGACAGGAAGACCTATCACTCCGTATTGCACGTCATGGCAATACTCGCTCCCTGCACTAAATGACAGGGAGCGCCACTCCTCAGCTAACCTATCACTCCCCTCCATTTTACAAGCCTAATTATCGCACCTGTTAATCCCTCTATATATGCTCTCCCCTTTCCTATCAGCTGTCTTCCAGGTGTCAACCCGCAACCCTCCTCCACCCCTTCGCCTCCTGCTTTCAACTCAGGGCCAAGCTTAACCTTCTCCCTTTCCAACCGGACCTAACCACTTATCACCACCACCAGTGTCTAGACCCAGGGGGGTTCATCGGAAACGGTTCTTCCCTTCCCGATTGATATCCTACAAAACCTGGGCCTAATCGCCAAAACACCATTTCATTCACTTGTTATAAACTGTCATCATTATGTTTCATTTATATAATCTGACCGATAATAAATATGTATTCCATACATCACGTCTCTCCTGATTGAACTGGTAATACATGGTTTCTAAAATACCAGCAGCAACATAAGGCTGAACCAGTAGGTGTTAGACCTTCTCAAGACCATGGGTTGGATATAAATACAAATAATTCTCAATTCTACACTCTAGATTTTCTTTCCTTCAGCTTTATGTTTAAAGCGGTGCAAAGACAACATATTTTTGACTTGGTACCTTCGACAAGTAATTTGTTTGTTTCAAGCTCTTTAATGGTCTCACATTGATGTTTCTGTAATAAGAAATACAAAATAAGATGTACATTAGGTAATGTTTGATTGATATTAGATTGAAACTGAGAGCAATCAATACACACCTACTGTGTGATCACAGTAATTGCCTAAAACTCTTAGCAAACAAATGAATGACACACAGTAATTATGTACCCTATAATAGCTTGTGCGAACGCTCGGTTACACATTTAATTGCAATGAGGAGTACCACCTTCAGAGTCAACAGAGCATGTCCTATAACCAAGACATCCTTGGGACCTTTGTTGCATATCTATACTATCATCTGTCAATAAAAGGTTGAATAGACTTACGAATCGATAAATTATACCTTTAAAATGATTATATTGATTCGTTTTTGTGTCAATTATTATAATAAATGAAATAAATGGTTTCTTATATAGGCTATAATGGAAGGTGGTGTTACAGTACATCGTAATATAAGGGGTTTCTATTTTACTAGAAAAATAAACACTTTACAACTTTATCCTCAGTGCTAAAACTAAATATAATTGTATAATCAACCATAATATATGCATCATGAGAGAAGACTTTTTAGCATGACATACTGGATTGGTTACCGGTGTTACTACTGTATAGTGGCTACTGAGTGTCTCTTTCTGTCCTAAATGAGCTTAATCTTAAGCAAAACATCAGAGAATAAACATAAATGTTACTTATCACATCAGACTGTGTCAATTAGATTTGTTTCGAATCTAAAGTCGTATGATCTTATTAGAGTGATGAAAACTAATTCCCTTTAGAATTCTTTCAGATGCCATCCTGGTTGCCATGGTGGTTAAACAGGGACATTTAGACTGTTTGTGTGTGTGTGTGTGTGTGTGTGTGTGTGTGTGTGTGTGTGTGGTGTGTGTGTGTGTGGGTGTGTGTGTGTGTGTGTGTGTGTTTGTGTGGTTGCTGTCTAAGCGGATTGTCACCCATTAGGCACTTTGATGAGTCAAATCTGTTGTCTCTTCATGTATTGGGGAAGTAACTCATTATAACACAAGGGTTCACACACAGAGTACACCCTGCCACACACTGAGTCAAAGCAAGAGATAAAGCACACACATCAGAATTTTTAAAGACATGTCAATCTCATAAATTCAAGTCTTCATTATCAAAATGAAAGAAGCCAGCATTTAACAAATTAAAAGTATTTTCTTTGAGCTAAGCGTCTTTCTTAAATCCCCTTGTCAACATGTAAAAAGATACAACTAATTAAACCATCTCTTCTACTGCGTAAGCAAAGACTTTGATGACCCATAACACTACTATTGAACTATCGTGTAATTTATGTTTCTGCCAATAACCATTTGAAGTGAGTATGTATAAAGCATTTACAGTGAATATATAAACTCTATTATTCAAATGAAAGAAACCATTTAGATGAAAATGTAGTTAGAATACATCTACATTTTCAGCTTTAATAATTTGGATTCAGGACTTCAGCAAATTATCCTCTAAAATTAAATAAAGATAGCCAACATTAATTTGGGATGCCGGTAACAGAAAAACTGTGAGGCTGATCCTTCACTGATGAAAGAATCGGAAACTCTAAAGTGTGAAATTATATTGTTGGACATATCCTCTAGTTAAAAACATTATCTCTTTAGCAAAATATTAAAAACCTAATAAGCAGTATTGTCTGACCCTCTCTCTTTTGCAATCCTCATACGTCTGCTTTGTTATGTTTTCTTAAGTTCATGACGTTGTTGCCTAAGATCACTAAAGTTGATTGGACTAATCCGTTCAGAATTGACATTTGTTTGCGTGGGTGATGATTGTTCTCACATACTGTTTGTCTGTACATACGACACAGACTACTGGGAACGTGGATCAGGGTCCATTTGCAGGGATTTATCTGTTTAATAACTGGGAGAGTTTTGTTGCACTACCCTAAGGGCCACATAATAATGCACTCTAATGCACAGTCATCACTAATGGTCTGATCCTGCTAAATGGACCTGCTTAAGTCTCCTATAAGGGGGCTGGTCCTTCCTCTATCCTGTCCCTTGGTCCCCATTTGCACAGTAGCATCTTTCTTCAGCTCTCTTGGGGGTTTTCAGCCAGTGACTATGCAGAGTATAAAAGACACGGCGAGGATGCTACCACCACTGAAGTTGACCAGGACACTGCACAGGACACTTAACCCCGACGGGATAAGTCTTTCTTCCACAGGAGGAAGTCAACAGGTGCCATCGGACAACCAAAGTCCTTCCTCTACTTCTGTCATTAGAATTCATCTGACCTCTCTTCGGTTTGAGACCATGGACACAGCTGCAGTGGTGACTCTCCTGGCTCTGGTTGTGGCGATGGCTGGCGTCAGTCAGGCTCTTCACGTCCAAGGCAGCCTGGACAGAAATGACATCCTGCCAGACTCAGAGGACAACATGGCCGACCACCTGCTGGGGCTGGTGAGACAACAAACCACTCGCACTGCTTTTCAAGTCTTGAGTTTAACCTGCTGTGGCTATGAAACATGCACTATTAGAACTACACCATGTTGTGTGTTCTTCCATAACTCATGTTAAATCCAATATCAGTTGCCAACAACATTTTGGCATCTGAAAATAGAAATCTAATGTTGAGGCATATCTCAGGCATGTGTGTTCAATTATACTGGAGGCAGGATTTAAAAATGCTTTAAACTTTTTATTTATTTAATCAGATAAATATCTGAGGATTGCGAAATATCATCTGTCTTTTGCTCTAATTTAGAATGAATTAAAAACACTGTGAACAACCAGAAGTCATGACGTTTTTCAGAGGTCTGGCACTTCCATGTGATGAAGTGTGTAAATGGTATTAGAGCCTTTTTTTTCTAATGAAACAAGTTACATCACACAAATCATTTGGTTACTCTCCATGCAACAGTGTGAAATAGACTGTAAGATATTCTGAGATCAACAGACAGAGCAGGAAAGAGGAGGGGAATTCAGATACTGAAGAAGATTATAAGGTGTTCCCACTGTGGTTTGTAAAGCCAGACAGATCTGGGTTTGATTTTGCATAAAGATAAGGATGGATGGATATCTGAGTGGGCATGAGAAGCATCTCTCTGCATTTGCACACTGATATCTACACCTCGAGGTCCCCTGCCACAGCAGGATGCCTGGCTGGAGTTAGAAACCCTGGGGTTATAGTTGCACCCAACATTGAATAGAGTCTTGATGTTGTTCCAGGATATTTTGTGGGTTATTTCAAAAACAGAGTTCAAGCTTTTGATGCTTGGAATTGCATTTGTTTGTGTGTATGCTGCTGTGCTCAGGAGAGTGAAAACACAGATAACAGCGTTGATGATCGTCTGCTGACCGCGCTGCTGAGAGCTCTGCTGCTGGGATCTCAGAGAGAAACCAGGAACTCTGTCCTCCATCAGCCACAGAGGTCAGTGCCATCACAGAGCCAATGTTCATCACACATATATAGTACACTTTAATTAATCACACAGGAAATAATAATGTCTATCATTGTGCCATTTCAACATTCTGTAGAGAAACATTTCTTATCAATATTGGTTAAAAACAGGGAAACACGCCCATCTCAATTTCCAGGTGATGTTGAATGTATTGTTTTAATCCCAACAACAGTCCAAGCATCAAAGATATTCTCATTTCTGCTGGAAAATTGAAATAGATTTATGTCAACCTGCCAATCTTTGACTGGTGGCTTCAGCACCAAATGAAATGTAACCCATTAGAAACTATTTCTTAGAATTTTAGAAATACATAAAATAGTATTTCATAAAGCTTGTAATAATTGTTAGTGAATGTGGTTTAGGAGGCAACCACCTCTTTTATTATAAATATTTGATAATGTATTAAACTGAGATTGTGGTCTCAGCCTTATGGGGTATAAATATTATAATGTATTTATTAACATAGCTCCTATGTAAGATAAGTCCCTTCTGCTCTGATTAATTAAATACTTTAAACAAACATAAGAGTAAAATAAGATTGATTATTCTGTATTTTTTAGATTATCAGTTGATTTCTTCCCCATGTTTATCCCTTATCATAAGCATTTCTTGGAGTATAAACATTTATTTATAGAATATCATTGAAACCATAAATGATATCAGAACCTGACTCTGTTTCTCCTCCCTCACAGGTTTGGGCGCGGCTCCAGAGGGCAGGTCATGACGGAGGATCAGATGCATTCCCGTGATTGGGAGGCTGTCCCCGGTCAGATCTGGAGTATGGCGGTTCCCCAGAGGTTTGGAAAGAAATGATCTTACAGCCAGATCCTCACATCAAAGTCCTGGCACAGGGCCGAGCAGCAGGGCAACTGTGGAGAGACAACATTTGAATGAATTGATCTGAATATTTTTTTTCTACATTGTCCCAGCCTATCATGCCTGGCTTGACACAACATGTTGTCAAACATGACATGGGCTTCATTTTACATTTTGTCCTTATAATATCTAACAAAGCATGAAAACAAGTGCCTATTTGGGTTTTGTGAGCAGACCTCATTTGTCTGTAAGGGAACGTTATTTAAACATGTTTGCTGTAAATTGATTGCTATATTCTTTGTTATTCTTCTGTTCTCTGGTCAAATAAAAAAGCTTTGAACTTGGAAAAGATAAACTGATGTGTATGTGTGTGTGTGTTCAAAGTGATTAGGCTATAGTAATCTATTCACAGGGCAGTATTACAGTATTGAATCCTTAAAATACAGATTTGGAATTGTATGACATTTCTTTAAATCTTCCTGATACAACATATAATAAAAGATGTTCATAATAAAATATAGATTAGGGCTATATATAAGGATCATTTTCGTTCTCAGTTCATTTGTCGGTTTTTCTAACAATTGATTATACAAGTTTACATCTAGATTATAAAATGTGAGGAAAGAGAACAAAATCACAAACTCTCGAAACCCAAGGTGGATGTCTTCAATTACCTTGTATTGTCCAAAACAAGAATCTGATTTAGATGAATATAAAAGCTTCAAATGCATTCTGAGCTCTAACCAGCAAGCATGCAAATGTCCCTTGATTATTTACTAATTATCATCCAATAACAGTATGTTTGATATCATGTGATGTTATGCAGTATTGTCAAAATAATTGCAAGTCTGCAGTCAGTGTCTCATTAGTTTTCTAATTTACTGGAAAAGTTTCATGGCTTTTTTTTTTTTCAAACACTAATTTTGACAATTTCTGAAAATCTGCTACACCGCATGCACATGCATACTGATGTCCCACTTCAAATGTGCCTTAACGGGCTCTCTCAGACATCAGAGGAATGCAAATTGCAGGTATTTTTTGTAATAATATGTATAAGATGTCCGGAAAAAAATAACTAAAATCTTTTTTTTCTCTCTTCAACCCACAGACAGTTTTGTGCAGGTTTAATGGATGTGGACAGAGGATGTTTTAACCAGCTAATGTGATTCACAGCTCTTCTCTGCAGACCAGCAGAGGCTGTTGTAGTTCTGCGTGTGGTGAATTTACAAGCCACCTGGGGTAGCAGCATGCAATAAGCTTCAGCACTAATTAAAACACAGCAACATGCAATTATGCTACGCTTTCACGTTTCCACAGCCAATTACTGGGAAGGAAAGCACGTCAATTCCTCTTAGGAAGAATCTTTTATTAGCCTAACCTCCCATTCCTCTTTTTGAGCCCAGAAGACAACAGCAGGAATAACCAGAGCTGAGACTGTTGACAGATGACCTCTCAAGTTATTTTTCTTAGTTTCGTCCCTAGTAACCTCTGTTAAAAAATGTTGTTCAAAATAGCCCATTGTAGGCATAAAGTCATTATTTATGTAGCCTGAACACTATCACCAGAAGGAGCAGGATAAGAAAATAGGTTCACGGATGAAAATATTCACAGATAAAAGACCAACAATAAAGTGTCTACAATATGTCACAATTGTACTGTGATATACTGTAAGATAGACAGACCAATTTCCATGACCTTATGGGATTATGGTTGCTAACAAAGCTTCTAATATTACTGTAGCTATGGTAACATTGTTACGTTCTACAGAATACACTAATACAACAAACACATTTCATTGTGTAAAGTTGAAGTAGGCCTACAAGGTGTTAACATGTCAGAGAATCTAATGTCACAGTTCGATTGATTTGATCTAATGCTTACTACTCTACTCTAAGATACTGTTTAAATACAAACAGAACAAAAATGTAAAACAAGTGACGGTATATTCAAGTACTAGACATTCTATAGGTTATAGTCATGGCTGGACTAGCATGTTTCTGTCCATCAGTGTGACTTTTAGTTGGATTTATTCTTCCTCAAGTCTATAGGTGCCCAAACCTTTTCACTTGAAGGGGCAAAACTGCAACTTAATGCTGGGCCATGGACCAAAAGCAAACACCTTTTGTAATTTATTGTAGGCCTGTTGTTAAAATGCAAAATACTAAGATCCAAGTTCCCTTATCATATTGCCTTTTTGTGCGCCACTGTCTGCAATTTCTTTATTACTTTCCTCACGGCAAAATGACTTCCCCTCTTTGTGATCATTTATAAGAGAAAGAAAAAAGCTGTCATCTAAAATAATGAAAGAGGGATCCCCCAGCAGGATGTCTGAGTTTGCAATAGGATTACACTTGTGAAGCAACAGGGACTATGACAATGAGTTATGAGAATTAAACATGAGGTAACGAACGCCATTGTAACACATAATCACTGATGTTCCGCTGCAACGGTGGTGGACTCATCAGAACAGAGTGGGCGAGCTGGCCAATCAGAGCACACTGGGCTCACAGGGAGGATGGGGGGGGGGAGGGGGCAGGAGCTCCAACAAGCCGTTTAGGACAGAGAGTGAATACACATACTATACAGAGACGCTGTATGAGAAACCAATGTGAGTTTGGAAAATGTTCCAATTGCACTGTAAATCTATTCTAGTAGACCTCAACAATGGAATTATGATCAGTAGAAATGGCCATGTCATGGGACCTTTAAGACAAACATAGACAGCTGGGTGATGGAGCTGTTGATGGCACAGCTGTAGCCCTTGATATGCACAGCTGAGTAAAAGAAAGATGTAACTACTATGAATTTCATAAGTCTCCACGGGGGGTTCAGACAGAAAGTCAGTTTTCACTGAAAGAAAAAGAGAGAGATTGTTATTGCCACATCACAAAAATGCCACATCACAAAAATGATATTATATGATAAACTGCAGTCTCAGATGCTGTGTTCTCCTGTATAGCTTTCTGACCTCTACTCAATCCCCCACTTCCATTGTCCCTCCTGGTCATCATCTTGGAAGGCAGCCATCTTAAGCAGTTACCATTACCGCCTTGGCCATGACACAGCACAATTTGCTTTAATGGCTCCAGGGTGAGTGAATGATCTTGTATATCAGTGTCAAGGGTAAACCCCAGAGTTATTTTACTTTGCAGCTAAACATTTTGCAAACAATGCTGCTATGTGTCAGATTTTTTTTACAATTCCAGGCAGCTATTCTTTTCTATTTTCTATTATAGAGAACATATCTTCTTTTCTGAAGAACCAGCACCTTATCGTGGTGGAGAGGTTTGTGTGCCCCAATGAACCTGGGGGCTGTGTTGTCTGGAACCTTGTGTTCCTGGTAGGATCTCCCATGTCAAATTGGTCTCAGGCAAGGGGCCAGACTAAGATTGGTTCAAAGACCTCATGAAAAACGACAACATAAGAAGTGAGGATACCCGGCCCAGAGGAAGCCCGGGGTCCCCTTATGGAGCCAGGTCCAGAAGGAGGACTCGTCGGCGAGCGTCTGGTGGCCGGGCCGGGCTGGCCACGGCCACCAGACCAGACCAGAAAAGGCAACGCGGGCAACACCTCCGCTTCTCCGTCCTGCAGGCTCACCACCTACGGGGAAACAGCGATGGGGTCGGGTTCGCTGCCAGAAAGGTGGCAGTGAAAGCAGAGGGTCTCGACGGACCAGACCCGGGAGGCAGAAGCTGGCTTTGGGGACGTGGAACGTCACCTTTCTGGGGGGGAAGAAGCCGGTGCTTGTGCGGGACGTGGAGCGTTACCAGTTGGATCTGGTGGGGCTCACCTCTACGCACATGGCGTCGGCTCTGGAACCTTACTTCTGGATAGGGGTTGGACTCTATTCTTCTCCGGAGTTGCCCAAGGTGTGAGGCGCCGGGCGGGTGTGGGGATACTCACAAGCCCCCGGTTGGGTGCTTATTTGTTGGAGTTTACCCAAGTGGACGAGAGGGTTGCCTCCCTGCGTCTGCGGGTTATGGGGGGGGGGAACTCTGACTGTTGTGTGTGCTTATGAACCAAACAGCAGTTCTGAGTATTCAGCCTTCTTGGAGACCCTGGAAAGAGTCCTGTATGGAGCTCCTGAAGAGGACTCCTTAGTCCTGCTGGGAGACTTCAACGCACATGTGGGCAATGATGGAGACACTTGGAGGGGCGTGATTGGGAGGAACGGCCCCCCTGATCTGAACCAGAGTGGTGGCTTGTTACTGGACTTCTATCCTACTCATGGATTGGCCATAACAAACACCATGTTCGAACATAAGGATGCTCATAAGTGTACATGGTACCAGCAGGGCCGTCCCTGGCCAACTTGGGGCCCCAAGCGACATTGTGAGATGAGCCCCCCCCCCCAACCGACAGGAGTGAAAACAATTTTTTTGGAAACAAAGTACTCTTATAAATATATTTCCTGTTTATTATTATTATTATCAACACAGTTACTTTTTTGTACAGTGAGGTAAATGGTAAATGTGCATGTATGTCGTTCAGTATGCGTTTACAGGTGAATACGTCTGCATTTCCTACCAAATACTAGCCTCAAAAAGATTAACATATAATTAATGCAAATAAACTACTTCTACTAATAATAATAATCATAATCAATTCAATTATATAAATACTATGTTACTTTATTATAATATAGTTGTAATATAGTCAAGAAAAAAAAAAAAACTGATATTTCTTAAATCTGTATTCTGTAATTCTGTAATCTGTATTCTGTCAGCAATGTATCAACAACAACTACACACACATTTCTATCAGTATTTCTCTGTGTTGTGGTTGACATGATGATGACTGTTCGGAGTTAAGGGGAGAGGCTGAGCATCACCATGAAATGTGCAAATTGCGCGGAGAACTGCGCTGAGAACTGCGCTGAGAACAAGCCGAGCTCATAAACCGAGCTCATAAACCGAGCTCATAAGCCGAGCTCATAAGCCGAGGCTCCCTGCGCGAGGCCCCCTGTGCGAGGCCCCCTGCGCGAGGCCCCCTGCGCA